CAAAGATATATATATATATATATATCTTTGATTTAACCAGGTAGATCTCTCTTAAATTTAGATTTTTATGGGAGACTTTAAAGTGTCCCTTTAAAAAAGGAGATTTTAAGGTCTAAATTTTTTTCCTATACATATTTATTCCACTCAATTAATGTGTGATTTATTTATTTTCTATTATAAGTTTTATATCGTGAAATATATCGTTACCGCCACTCATCATAATGTATATCGTGATATGAATTTTTTGCCATATCGCACATTCCTAGCTCAGTCCTAGGAACAACTAAGATGCTGAACAGGACCCTCAGCCTCCCAGGTCTCTGGCGAAGGACCTGAGCTGGAACCAAAGAGGAACCACCTAAGTGGGGGGGAAATAGGGGCAAGCTATTAGTTAAATTTTGAGTGAATATAATTGAAAACATATAGAAGTTATTTAATATAAATAAAGTCTTAATTGGGACAACAAGCTCGTACCATTTTATCGCCTCAGCTTCCTGCTGACCTTCAGCACTTCCTGTTTTTCCAGTCCCTTATTGCTCACTCGTTTTTTGTTCTTCTTACAGATGTGCATGGACTCAGAAAAGCATATGATCTACACGTTTGGCGGACGCATCCTAACTTGTAACGGTAGTGTGGAGGACAGTCGRACGTCCGAGCCACAGTTCAGTGGCCTCTATGCGTACCATTGTCAAGCTGGGACATGGAGCCTCCTGAGGGAAGACTCGTGTAACGCTGGGCCAGAGGACATTCAGTCCCGCATTGGTCACTGCATGCTCTTCCACAGTGTGAGTCCAGGCAGAGCTGTTTGCTTTTGGATGACATATTCATTCTTGTGTTGACATACTGAGTTAAATATTTTCTCTATATTCACCCTCAGAGGAACCGCTGTCTGTACGTTTTTGGGGGTCAAAGGTCAAAGACGTACCTCAATGACTTTTTCAGTTACGATGTGGATGGAGATCATGTGGAAATCATTTCTGATGGTACAAAGAAAGACTCAGGGATGGGTAAGAATACATTTTAATAACTTGCTTTTAATATCAGATCRCGTCTTCAAAAACAGAAAAGATTCTAGTTTGTATTTAAAAAAAATCCATTTCAGCACGATACGATGGGTCACATTTAAAGTCAATTATTTCAGTTCTAAACATGTACCGTATTTTTCGGACTATAAGCCGCACCCCCAACTTAAAAAAAAACTGTACACCCAAATTTGCCGTCAAAAAAGTGAATTCAATATCAAAACATAAAAAAAGCAAACCTTTAGGAATTAAAGTTCGGAGGAATACAGTTCATTTAACCGACCTTATTTTGATAGTTTTCTTTAACAGTTTCTGGTCCAACAAAACGTATCATTCATCGTCCTCCGGTGCACTGAAACCATCGAAGTCCTCCACTTCAGTGTCGGAGTTA